TTCCTAGTAGAAATGACTAAAAAGGCAGTGTCATTTTTCTCAAATAATCAGTACTTTTTTTAGAGTCAGCTCAGCAAGAATTTACCAAAGGGCCATGATTCCAATAAAACTTGAAAGGAACCTGTGGACTGCTGTATTATTCAAAGTCAAAATCTGTCACCTATGTAGGATTAAAAATTTGTATCCATCTCATCCTTTTTGTTACAAATAATTTGAAAATCAATTCTTCTATTAACAATTAAAGATGGCAAGTGACCAACCTTCGGGGCAAGTCCCATGCACAAATGAAGCTCTTATCTTCAAAGTACAAAGCTTTACAAGATGACACTGAGGCCTGTTGAATGTTTTTATTTGAATATGAAAGAAGGATCTTTTGCTTCTTTGCTGCCTTCCCCTGAAATTTGCTCATTTTTATCAATAGAAAATGCTATGCTTGTAGGATTGATCTATTAACCATTTTCAAACTGCAGTTAGGTTTTATAGACTTCTAAAATTTTTCTGTTCAGTGAGATCACAGATATTTTTATACTTCTGGCAAAAAGAAGAAAAGGCAATGTTCTTGTCAGTGAATCAATCATTTGCTGATTCGAAGGGGCATATAACTCTCCATTAAGAGGAATGCACCAGAACAGGTCCAAAGAAAGAACAATAGTCACACATGCTGGCAATAATAATTCTAGTTTCAACTGTTGGTCGCCTTCCATATGCCACGCAGTGAGCAAATGCTTTTTGCTACGTGGACTCATTAATTCCTCAAGAGCCAGCGCTTGGGGTATGAATGGAAGGAGTTTTTCTGAGTGCACTTCAAGAAAAAGTTTTAGCCATCCAGTTGTTCATCAGTCTAATAGCTAATTTTGTTTCTAATAGGTAAATGTTTACAGCGCTGAGAAGTCCACACGATGCATGTCAAGCCCACAGGTGAACCGCAGGAACTCTGCTCTCTATGAGCAAAGACTGCCATCTTGTGGAAATCACACACTCAACAAAAGAATATCACCCTACCCAGCCAGAAAGTGTTCCTGGCCCTCACCAAGAACTTTGCAACTAATTTCTTGCCTTGTTATGGGCATATATCACTGTTGCTTATAATTAAAGGGGAAAACTCTCCTTTGGATGTTGTTAAGCTTCATTTAAAGGGCCAGTTTCTCATGAAGATTTGAAAGAGAACTTATCTTTCTGCTGATTAAAGAAATCACATTTTACTAACTTACTTTACCTAATCCTTAAGTCAAGTTTTTGTTAAATAATTAAAAAGAGGGTGTGGAGAGACCTTTCTGGTGGAATTTCCAGGAGCACTGGATTTTGTAGCGAGCTTTTATGACAAAACTCTTGGCTCGGGGAGTCTTTTCATTCTCTTCCAACACAATAGCCTGGAAGAGCCTACATTCCTTGGAGTCTGCTGTGGGCTGTTCCGAGCTGCACTGAGAGACCCTGTAGTCCAATTACTATGTGTATCCCTGAGCTGCTGTGATGGTAAGATCCACCTTAGAAAGAGCTCCTCGCAGCTCCTGGGGTATACCAGAAGGCTCCTAGAGAACTCAGCTCTCTGAACTTAAAAATTCTGCAATAAAATGAATTCTTTGATTTATCACCTTTGACTCCTAATAGAATTGAAATGGGTGAAATATAAAATGTACAGTTTGGTAACTGTTCTTAAAGCTAAACTATTTTCCATGTTAAGAACAAATAAGGAGGTAGTAAGTTGAATCATGGAGATCTCAGATACCCCTGAGGAATCAGAGCAGGCAGATCATCAACTCCTGAATGAATGAAAGAATGAGTGGACATGAAGTGAGGGCATTAAAAAAAAAACAGCTTCACAATGTTGCCTAGTCTGCTCTGACTGGATGTGCAATCACGTTTTAGAAGAACTCTTGTACCCAAGGAAATGCCTGGTAATGAAATATGAAATCTTGAAATTTGAATGGACAGATGAATAAGAAGGACACGGAACAAATTTAAAAATGGCTTCAATGATAAGGGGCGGGGGAAGTAGGATCTGAGGACTGAGTTCATTTGCTAAAACTGAATTAGGCATAGTCTATCAGTAAACATACACCTGCTCTGTGAGGGGAGTGGGGGGGGGGTACGCATTCCAGAAAGGGGATCAGGCATTGATCAAACGACTGCAAATAATGCAAAACGATGATAAGTGTCATGAGGGGAAAATCTCACACTTTCACAGACACCCAATAGCAGAGTGGCAGGAGGAGCAGGAAAGCAGTAAAAATGGGTTTCGTTTTGTGTGTGGATAATTGTCAGCCTCCGTATCCATGGGCCCCACACCCACAGATTCAGGTTGAAAATAGTCAGAAAAGAAGAATTTTTTCTGTAATGAATATGTACAGACTCTCTAATTATTTTATTCGCTAAATAATACAGTCTAACAACTATTTATAGACAGCACTACATTTTATTAGGTAATAAATAATCTAGGGATGATTAAAGGCATGAAGGAGGGTGCCTGTAGGTCATATGCAAGTACTAAGCCACTTTATATGAGGGTCTTGAGCATCCTCAGATTTCGGTATCTGTAGGGGAACCTGGGATACATCCCCCATGGATACTGAGAGACAATTGTATTCTCATTAAGCAAGGGTTGATTTCAGTCCCTTTTATGTCTATACATACTTATAAGCACAAATTTAAGAATAATTATTTGTCCCAACATGATTACATTTTTCCTTCAACCTTGAAGGAAAATGGTGCCCTGATTACCAAGTGAAAACACCTAAAGGATTTGCCATTTCGTTTCATTATTATTGTGGTATAGCACTTAACATGAGAGCTAACCTATTAATGAATTTTCAAGAATATAATACAGTATTATTGTCCATAGGCAAAGTGTTATATAGTAGATCTCTAGATTTTATTCATCTTTCATCACTGAAATTTTATACCATTCATTAGCAACACTACCATCATTTAAACGGTATTCATGAGGAGGCCAAGCAAGTCACTTTGATGCTACGATTATGTATTTGTATGATCCTAGTACAGTACCAGAAATTCCCACAGGTAGTTCCTTCTTTGGATCAAGGCATTATTCCTCAAGTGTATTTCTCAACTTGTTTCCCCATGTGTTCTCAATATGTGTTACTTGGGGAGGAAAATGGGGGAAGGGAAATGGAAGTTGAATATGGGAAAAGCTGAGTTTAGCAAAATCATACAGGCTTACTTTTCCACAAGTGGTCTTGAAGAGTCCATAGGCTAGCATCTTGGTATACTTCCAAGAAGGTGCTTCTCAGAGTTAATGACCACAGAGCCCTTTTCCTGCAGAGGCTTTCTAAGTACTAGTGTCCTGGGGAATGCACTTTGGGGAATTCTGGAAAAGGAAATGAATTTATCTGGGATAAAGACTGGAATACAGGAGACATAGAACCCATTATTACCTACAATTATTTTAGTAAATGATGTTAATCAATTAATTGCCCCTGTTGAGAAACATTCTGAGGTGATGGGAAATTAGGCAGATTGGTTTCACAAGAAGCAAGGAGGAAAAGCCCAGGCTGTTGGGGAGACTCAAGGGCACTATCAGTCCTGCAGTATCCATGGGAGTTAACAGAGCCAAAGACCAGCTCTCCATGGTAGGTGGAGACAGAGATTCTCCTAGGGCTGGTCTCAACTCTTAATTAAATCAAGTTAAAAGTTGATCCCACCCCCAGTGTCCTTCCCTTTATCATTTTCCTCAATTTTCTAGCCCCAGGCTAGTTATAAAAACAGGTAAAAAGGTTATGTGTCACCAAAAGTTGGTGATTTACTCCTGCCAAATTGGCCTAGTTCTTTTCCCTCACCTTTTAAACAGTCTCACCCCAAAGAATCCCAAGACCCAGGATGAGATTACAAATGTAGGACACAGGAGCACAAGGAGATGGCCTCTGGGTCCCTCTCTTCCCACCCCCAGCCGTGTCCTGCATAGGAAGGTTCCCCTGCTCAAAGCTGTGTGTACCTGAGCTTGCACATCCATGCTCTGTGCTCCCTCTAACACTACCACGTATGTCTTTGGTACCCTTGTGACAATAAGATCTACTCTCAGGAGGACATCCCTGGGAATAGAACTGAAAGACCACTGAGCTATTAGGCCAGAAAATTCCAGAGAACCCTGAGGATGTGTGCACTCTGGACCGTATATAACCTGGGCCTCTGAGGAGGGGCATCGCTGGAGGAGGGGCAGGCCAGGCAGGTGTTAGATAGAGCCCAAAGAATATTCAGAATTGAGACTAATTTCTCAATGAGAATCACACTTCAAAAAGCTGCAGTCTTTGCAGTTACTCCCAGAATGTGGAGAGAAAAGATGAAGAAGAAGGGCATTTCTTATTTGAATTGAACTACTTCTGAATGCCTCTAGTCAGCTTTTCTTCTTGTTCTCCAAGGTGAAATTTCTTCCCCTTTGGCATTAAAAGGAAAACTAGATCAGTTGTGTGAAAAAACAAAAAATGATGTATTTTATCAACTTCAAACTTGTCCCAAGGCTTTCTTGCACACTGTGTTAAATAATAGAAGTCTTTTTAATTGAATTTCTATGTGTGTAGCATATGCCGGGCGACATTACGCCAGCATCTTGCTCAAAGCAGCAAAACGTTCTTCATAAAAGCATTAAGATCTAGAGGATCCTTCTGTGTGTAGGAAAGGCACACAGAATTGCAGCAGCTTGAAACCACATCAAAACAGGGCCTCTGAAATGGAATTGTAGAAAGCCACTGCACCAAACCAGGGACAGGAGTATTTAGTTATAATAAAACCCAAAGAAGGAGGAAAGGAGGGAGGATGGAGATGGGAGGAAGGGGTGAAGATGGGGGAAAAAGTCCCGCAGCACAACCTCATCTCTAGAACCAGAGCCATCATGGTTAGTTTCCTCATAGTCCACCCTATAAGCTGATCTGTAGAATCCTGTCCACCCGCAGCCACCATCCTTTAGAGGTCGGGTGGAAATCAGAGCTGTCATGGAGAAGGCAACAACTATGTCTGCAATAACATGGGTTGTGTTCTTGACCCCCAAGGATCCTGGAACTTCAGCAGAGTGGCGACATGGACATCTTGAAGCACAAATGGTGGCCTAAGAATGGCCAGTGTGACCTGTACTCCTCAGTGGACACAAAGCAGAAAGGAGGCGCCCTGGACATAAAGAGCTTCGCGGGGGTCTTCTGCATCCTGGCTGCGGGGATCGTCCTGTCCTGCTTCATAGCCATGCTGGAGACCTGGTGGAGCAAGAGGAAAGGCTCCCGGGTCCCGTCCAAAGAGGTACTTGACGAGCTCCGGCTCTGACTTGAACCCACAACCAGGCCGTCCCTCCAGGCAGGCTGGCCATGGGGAAAAGGATAATGAATTGGGGGCGGTCATTTCTTTCTTGGAAGATGGAAAATAAATTTGAGTGAATGGAGAAATGGATAAGGCCACTCCTAATTTCCATTTTAGGCCCTAGCAGATAAGTGCAGAGCAGACTATAGTATCTCAAAGACTGACAAAGCCTGTGTCATGAGGCCCTTTAAAATGTTCCTCAATCTCAGGATAGACTTTAATTCAGTGATTTTTTTAAAGGTTTAGTGATTTCCTGGACCAATTTATAATGATGCTCACCATTTCATTTTATTTAAATTAGTTCTTTAACTTGTAGATAAATTACTTATTTGGGTTTCTAAGACTAGGCCTGAAAAGTGCGATGCTATAGTGAAAAATAATCAGAATTTTCTCATCCCCACTGGTGACCTGTTACAGGTAGATCTGTAGGGTTGTCCTGTGATTTGGGTTCTTTCATGACCCCAAGCTTGCCAGATATAATCAAGGAATCATCCACAATTCTCTTTTTCTCATTTTCTCCTGAGCCATCTTAGTTCCAGGGCCATATTAAATTTTTCTAGATATACAAAAGAATAATTGCAGAGTTACACATACTGTCTCTTTTAAAGTACCACGTGCCTCGTTTTCCTTACAAATTATGGGGTTTGTAAGTTACCAGTGAAAATATAAAGTTAAAATAAACTATTTGATTCATTTATGTTGTTTCAATTGGACCAAAAGGTGAATTTAAAAAAAAATGAAATTACATTCACTAAAATTTCAGAAATTGAAATGGAAGACAACCTGAATTTCTTTTACGATTTGATCTGGTGAAGAGTTTCAAAGGAAAATTTTAAACTTTCTTTAACTAGAACTTGGCTAACTGAGGACTGGAGCAAATCCTGAGAGGATTTGCTTTGATGCACAGATTAAAATGACTTCTGTTTTTTATACAGATTTTTACACATTAATGTATTATTTCAAGCAGGCTGTTTTCTAAAGTAGTCTAAGGACTCTATCTTTACCACCTTATGTGAAAAATTGATCAGCATCATTTCAAGGAAAAGCTTGGCTCAGCCAAAATAAATCTTAGCTTGCTACCTGTGTGATCATCCGTTCTAAATAAGTGGAGAGCGAGTTAAAAATTAATCAGCTTTGATTGTAGTGTTTTCTTTGTGGAATAAGCTTCTGGTATCTCTGTTGACGTTGATTCAATGCAAAAGACCACATTAATGCAGCATTATAGCTGAGACTTCATATTCTCAAAAATCTAAAAATTAAGGACTCCCCAAGCTCCTTATATTTTGAATTACTATATGTGATATTAAATTTTTGCATTATTATATCTGTTGATGGATGACTATATTACAGTTGCTGTGGGAACCATAAAATTATATGTCTCAACCCTCTAAAGTCTCAGTGATAATATTGCATTAATGGATATTTTTATTGGATTTTAAAATGAGAAAGAAGAAGGAAAAACAGTGATGCACATCAAAATATTTTTCACTGAGGAGCGCCATAACAGCATGATGAAAAAAAACAAAATTCAGACCCCATTCTAACTCGTGACAGCTAATCCAAATCCTAGGAACAAATATTTTCTCCTTTTGTGATTAATAGATATTTTTAAACCCTCACAAATTTAATTTGTTGAGCTTGGCTATAAATAAGAGTGATAACATGGACAATTTTCCTTCTTGATAGCTCTACTTTTTCAAATATTGGGTTTTAATACTCACATTTAATGAAAATACTAAGGGATTTAAGAGAGGTTTCATCTTTAAAAATCTGAGGTTTTACTTCATTTTTGTTTATTAAGTGCCTTCTTATAAAAAATCATTAGCATAGCTTAAAAGCATCCTTGGTTTAGAGCCATGTACCATAAAACTGACCCTAAATTAAAACTATCTATCATTCCCATGTCCTGACTTGAAGAGGTCTCTAAACATCCTGCTGACCTCACCATATTGCCTGATTCGTATGCTAGATACCTTAAGTAAATGAAATCTCAATTAGAAATTGGTTCTCTTTTTCTCTGTCTAAAAAAAAAAAAAAATCTTACATATCGCTGGCCTACAAGAAATAACACTTTAATAGTCATTAATACTTTAGTATGAAATAGCACATCATATCCCTTTTCTCTAAGAATGAAAATTTAAGGTTAGAACTAGATGGTGGAAAGGATCAAAAATCCAATTTGGAATGAGACACTGAAAAGAGAGGAACTGTGTATAAAGAAGAGGTGGAGGGGGTTGGAGGGAGTTGCCAAAACCATACTTTTCCTTCATACGGTTTTGCCGGGCCTGTCTTATATAGAATGGTAATCACTCTTCTACAACTCTCTGGTCTTTCTAGTTGCATGTGGTGTATGCTCATTTTAGACTTTTCACTGGAAAAAAATATATATATTTTTTTATCTCAGAATCATATTGGTATTCCCAGAAGCTAATAAGCACAGTGCCTGACTCATATTAGGTGCTCAATAAATATTTGTTAAATGAATAAACCCCAAAGTTCAGTTAATTACATGTTTGCTGAACTACTTTTTCCTTTTCTTTCTTTCTTTTCTTTTCTTTATTTATTTATTTTTTTTTTTTTAACCATGGAAGCTAGTACTGATGAGAACCTTATTTTCTTTTTCTTCATCTCCAGGATGACAAGGAAATTGACCTGGAGCACCTCCATAGACGTGTAAATAGCTTGTGCACAGATGACGACAGCCCCCATAAACAGTTTTCCACCTCGTCAATTGACTTGACCCCTCTGGACATTGACACTTTGCCAACACGACAAGCACTGGAGCAAATCAGTGATTTCAGGAACACTCATATCACCACAACAACCTTTATCCCAGAGCAGATCCAGACTCTTAGCCGCACACTGTCAGCTAAAGCTGCCTCTGGTTTCGCTTTTGGCAACGTGCCTGAGCACCGAACTGGCCCTTTTAGGCACAGGGCACCTAATGGGGGCTTTTTCAGGAGTCCTATAAAAACAATGTCATCTATTCCTTATCAACCGACTCCTACCCTGGGGCTCAATCTGGGTAATGATCCAGACCGAGGCACCTCCATATGAGCATCAAACAAAATCTCTTCACTGTTTCTTCTTTAGGACTCCCGTTGCAAGGAGCAACTGTAATATTGTGGGACTAACATGGATGTAACTTTAAAAAAAAAAAAAAATCAGGATTATTAGTAATGATTCTAGTTCTTTCTTCCCACCTTCTCCTTCTTTTCTCTCCCTGTTTATTTCTCTTTCTCCCCCGCTCTCTTCTCGTATATTTCCCTCCATTTTTTTTTCATTACTCAACTTGTTCCCCCAGAATATAGTATTCTAGGATCCTATTAGTCTGCTTTTCATATACTGTACTTCAAGTTTAGGAAATGTGCACTGAGTATACTAAAAGTATATGCAGGTTTAATTTTACATCAAGGCCTCTAACATAACATTTCTCTATTTTTAAAAATATAATTGCAATAACTTCAGTCTTTTTACATTCTTCTGCTGCATCCATATAATGCTCCACTGCTGTTGAGTGTCCTTTAACTGTGGACCAAAGGCAATCCCTGCAGTGTTTATAAAACAATTTCAAGACCATTCAGGCCACACAATATCAGAATGCAATTTTGTAGGATTACAAAAAGCCATTAATATGCCAGTCAAGACTACAGTTAAAACTACTCTTGCACTGCAACAGTGCATATGACCTTTATGTGATTGTACAGTATCAAAAGTTTTTTCTTATGTACAGTAAACTTTATCATATGGCAGAAGCCTCTATTGTGTTAAATAACTTAGTATCTCATATATATATATACATATATATGCACCTATATAATGTGTATATATATAAAAAGGCAGCCATTGCTATTGCAATTCATTTAATAAAGCTTTAGTTTAAAAAAAAAAGTATTGTATACAGGAACTATGTATAGTGCGGGAGGTCTTTTCAGTTAGAAAAGGCAGGTTGCTTTAATGTTATTCTGACTCGCATTGTTTGCCAACAGAGAATATTTTATACTTTTGTTATTAAAGCATCCAGGGCGACTTAATATTTGTTCCTAGATGTAATTCATTTGAATAGGTTTTGCATTTGTTATTCAGCAGTGTATAAAGCTAACCTTGATAATTTTACTTTTAATTAATTATCTAAATGGAAAATGCTATTAGCTGAATCATATCCACTACAGTACCTAGAGCTCCATAGGAGTCTAAGCATAGATCATAAAAGGTTAAAAATCCTCTTCCAAAGCAGGAAGCCAATCAACATAACAACAGTAGTTGGGGAGGAATGGGAGCCCTTCAGAAGTATTGATGTGGCCTTAATTATGTCATCCATTACCCTAAAGAAAAAAAACGTAATTACCACGCTGGGCTCTCATCTTTACCCCTTTATACGTTCAGTTCCATTTGGAGGAGTTATGTATTTTTTAACATTAGTGCCAAGTGTATAGAAGGACAACAGCAAAAGCAGTGCCTCTTTGGGCACAACCCTTTTCAAGTAGCATTCTTATCTGTTAGAAAATGTAGAAAGAACTTCATTTGTAATCCTTAAATTAAAATGTGGTAAGTAGGCAGCAAGAACTTATCCTGTGTTTTTACACAGCCATGCACTTATTTTAAGCTAATTCACTCCATGGCTAGGATCGAGATAGGAATCAACCTATGTGATTTGCTTTAGGAGAAATTAAGAGGTATATTCTTAAGGCATATTATATTTTGATGCTAATTCTGTTCTGGGGAGCACCTTGTACTGTCACTGTTTTTGTACTAAATCTTCAAATATTGTCTACTGTGTAAGGCAGAGAAATTTCTTATCATGCAAAAACCATTTGTTTCCAGGGTAACAAGTACCTAAGTGCATGCACAACTTGCTTTCCCTTGTAACATTCATGATCTCATTCACAATTCTGATTTTAAAACAAAACAAAAAAAAATCTTTACAATGAGCTATATAGGGA